CATTTTGCATTTTGAAATGCTCCCGATTTCTGAGGTCTCAAGGTTGGCAAGTATGGACGTCACGTTGTTGTTTCCGTCAGGAGACATCTTGTATACGAGCGTCATGTTCTCGAGATAATTTACATATCTTATAAACAAGATCAGAGACACACACAGGGTTCATACACTTTTTCACCATGACTTCTCCAGGACCTTTACCTAATTTTCCATGACCAAGAAAATGACTCTGTCTCAGCGGTACCACTGAAAATGGTTTATTTTAACATGGAACAGGAAAATAAGGTCTGAAACATGTTGAGCCTATCTAAAACAAATCAAATACACTCTAAAAACGAAGTCAGGCGACCTTTCACCTCCACTTAATTAAATGCATGGTTGCAAGATAAAAATGTGAGTTAATTGATTTAGATAAATATTTGAAGTTGCAAACATTAATTTATAAGTTGTGTTGACGTAATAATGTTGGTAATTACATCAACTTAATATTGTGTGTAATTTGAACTCTGATTTCTGCGTTAATTGACTTAAAACAAAATTCAAGTTGTAGTAAGTAATGCTATTGGCTTGATAACTTAATTGTTCTACACCTTGAGTTAAGGATTTCAAGTCCACTCCTACTTAACATGCCTGGACAAGTTCCGACAGTTAAGACAAATAGAAATATACAAAGGACATTTTAAGGTGAGTGTCATCTTTTGTCATTCAAATACAGTAGATAGCCTTGTAGTTGCACCGTATAGGCAAATTGCTGTTTGACCAAAATGAGCAGCCTTTGAACTGTGGATAGTTCTCTGAGAGGATACAAAGCAGTAGAGGTTACTGTGAGAGTAAAAATACTTTGGTTACTATTGTGATATTGCTTTTTATTCAAAATGAATCTCGGTGAAGCAGATCAAGGACATGCTTCTTGAGGTATGATTGTTATTTAGAGTTGTCATTGAAATGAAGTTGTTGGCAGTCACCCATAAAGCCACTAAAATCTCTCACCAGCAAAACACCTCGTCAGTTAAAACACTGTGACGTGTGTGTGTGTGTGTGTGTGTGTGTGTCGTGTGTGTGTGTGTGTGGTGTGTGTGTGTGTGTTGTGTGTGTGTGTGTGTGTGTGCGTTGTGTGTGTGTGTGTGTGTGTGTGTGTGTTTGTGTGTGTGTGTGTGTGTGTGTGTGGTACACTGGACTCTATGACTGGAGGTTTTCATGACCTCCGGTTTTATTGTCGGATTACGCGATATTATTCGTACTGAGTCGCAAGACTACTGCTCCTCTCCCGAAAAACAACCCTCGACCAAAAGGAAAAACAACGAATAATCTCAATAATACAAGAAAGATTCTGCCGCCTTAGTCTTAGACTTAGAAGAACTTCGCCCACAAATAAACTGTAATAATGGTTTGTCCCCCAGTACAAGTCTCCAAGAAATGCCAAGTAATTGTTGGACCCTTTCAGTACCTTTAGTTTTACGACTAAGGTCCGGGTTCTTTCAAAACCTTGTTGTTATAACAAAAGGCTGTCAAAACCTTTTTCAGTCGCCTTTACATCTCTGAGTTTCAACGTAATTTATAGTAAATATAAAATAAGATTAGCGGCTTTACATCATTATGATATTACTATTATTTATGACATAGCACAATCATTAACTTTTGCATNGATACAGTATTTATAATCATTATAGTTATATATTACTATTTCGGCGATTAGATCAAATATAAATTATATTTGATGCAACTTTAGTTACATTTCCATGACTTTTCCAAAGCTTTGGGAGAAATATTGTTTTCCAGAACTTTTCCAGGGCCTGGAATTTGCTTTTTGAATTTCCATGACTGTTCCAGGTTTGTAATGACCGTAAGAACCCTGGTGTATGTACAATGTATTTATCTTCCGAAAATAGGGATAAGAGTTTCATATCCTGAAGGCTTTGTTTAGAATCAACCAAAACACCAAAGTGACCATAACAAAACAAACTAATGTCACAACAGGACTTAGAAAAGCTTGTCCATGCTTTTATCTTTAGTAGACTCGACTACTGCAATAGTGTATTCACAGGGCTCGAGGGCTGACAAAGAAATCCATCAGAAAGCTGCAGCTGATTCAGAACGCATTAAAAGAGTGGATCACATCAGTCCGGTTCTGAAATCTTTACATTGGCTTCCAGTCGGCCAAAGAATTGATTTTAAAGTACTATTGCTAGTTTTTAAATCAATAAATGGCTTAGGACCAAAGTATATTGTTGAACTCCTGCATAATTACGAGCCATCAAGGTGCCTCAGGTCTTCTGGGACGGGTCCTCTATCGGGTCAAAGAGTAAAAACAAAACATGGAGAGGCAGCATTTAGCTGTTATGCCCCGACAATCTGGAACAAACAACCCAAATCATGCACGTCCGCAGAAACGCTTACTATTTTTAAATCGAGACTAAAAACATATCTCTTTGGCTGCTTTTAATTGAGCTGCTCATATTCACACTACAGTAGGCCTTTTAAACATGTATTGTATACCTGTGGTGTTTATTTGTATTATCTTTGCTTTGTAATGTCTGTTGTAAAATTATATAATGTGTTTTTAATGTATTTATTCCTAAAAAGTCTTTTAATTTGTTTTGTAAAGCATTTTGAATTGTCGCGTACAGAAAAGTGCTATATAAATAAACTTGCCTTGCCTAGCATGAGTTTATTACATGAATCCTTGTTTCTCTCAAAATAGCCGTTTCTACAGCAGAGTGATTTTGATGGAGCGATTCACATGTGCACAATCGGAGCAGCTTTTGTGTTCTTATACAGTTAAATAAATAGCAAATATGGTTGTTGTGACAGCTGTGTATGAATTCCACAGGAGCCCCCCCCCACACANNTCCACACCCACCTCAAAGATCTCCTCTCTGGACACCTCGATGCGACAGTGTCCGGCCTGAGGCTGCTGTAAGGACAGCTCGTGTCGGAGCAGCTTTAATTTATGCACCAGGTCTCTCTCGTATCGCGCCGCCACGTCTCCATCTCCGCCTCCAACTCCCCCGACCACTCCGACGCCTCCCACCTCCTCACCCCCCACCTCCATCTGGGGGGCTTGCGAGGATTCCTTCGCTTGGCTTTGCTGGCTGGAGGTGGGAAGAAGGACATGGGAAAATGAAAACATGTCAGAAAGTCAGATTTGAAGGAACTGGATTACACACAGTGCATGCAGCCGGAGCGGCTAAATCTATAAGCCTGCATTTCTGTTTACACACGATTATTAACAGGTCGTGTTCAGAACCAGCCTGAGTCCAGCCTAACAGATTAACCACAGATTAGTCTTATTTGGTCCGCGTTATGAATGTCTGCCACCAAGATGTACATTGATGGTGCCGTGAGGGATACAAGAGAGCATAGAGTGCAGGAATGAGTCCTTAACCCGGAAATTAGTTAGCATTTCAACACTTCTGGTTAGATGGTCTTTAAGTCATTGTTTTTTTACTGTGTCGTTATTTAGATGCTGAAATAAGGTTTGTTGGAAACACAAACTTATAGGATTTTCGAGTTTTGTCCTACGACTTAAAATACGTCAGTTAAAATCCCACTGGTGGATGTCTGAAGATTTTACATTTAACGAAAACAGCGGTTGCTAACATGAGTCTAAATGAGACGACTAAACGTCATCACGTCTAACATTAGCCACATTTAGCTTAGCGGTGATGATATGAAGTCACGTGACCGCGCTGTAGTTCCTTAGTAGCCTAATGGTTGCATAAAATCCGATGGAAAATTCTAATTCGTTTTTATTTGATGCAACCTTGGCTATGCTAACTTCCGGGTTGGCCTACAAAAACACGCCATCCCTGCACCACTCTGTTTCCGATGTGTAAGTATACCTGATAATGGTGTGTAGGCGCGGGTCTGTGAACTGTGTGGTTCGGTTGTTGTGGTCCACAAAGTAGATCCGCCCCGACACGGTGCTGCGGACCTCCCAGCCCACCGGCAGCGGGCCCAGCTCCTCACAGCTCACACTGGCCAGATCCCTGCAGCAGGAAGCAAGCAGCCAAACTTCAAAAAGCAGCCGGAATCCTCAGCAGCAGCAGCAGCCAGGCCTCTTTAACTTTTCTGACCCTGCATACTGTTCTTAACCCCCAACTAAACCCCAGCGCTTAAGAAAAACAACCTGGTGATTTTCCCTTAATCTGTTGGTGTTATTACTGCAGAGCAAGGTTGCTGCACACTTTTTGAAATCCAATGTAATGCTTTGTATTTCTATTGAATCCTTCTCCATAGTCAGCGGGGTTTATTGAAGCCTCGCCTCCTTTCAGGTTTAGCTTGGACTCGAGTGAAGTGATTTGTAAACGTACCGCGGTATTCGAGGGTCGTGCCAGGTGCTGACGCCCGTCTGTGTGTGAAGGAAGTAGACCTGGCCCTGCACCGTCGTTCTTTGTTCTGTTTGAAAAAGAAGAAGAAAAAAAGGTGTTAAATGACTTCATATGAATAAATACAACATGAGATGTTTTAAAGAGAAATACACATTCAAACATATATTTGACTTAAACTGATATATTCCTGCACTTTAACTTTATCTGCATATTGAAGTATGAATGTTTGTTGTTTGTACGTCTCGTTGTGTTTTTGATGGCAAAAAGGAGTAGCTCTACTCATCTCACCTGTATAATGACAATAAAGGATTATTCTCTAATCTATTCTAAATGTTTGACTGACCGTATCCCTCCGGCAGGTCGGGCGGCTGGTGTCCGTGCGGTCTGTTTTGGGGTGTGTGTCCGTGGCCTCTCGAGTCCTGCCCTCTGATTCGCTGCGTCTGAAGACGACCCTCCTGACCGGGCGAGTCGAGCCGACAGTTCCCGCCTCCCGCTGCCCCGGTGGGGTCCGAGTAGGGCAGCGGCTCTTCACTGAAGCATCCCTCAAACACAGGCCTGCACACACACACACACACACACGTCACTGAAGTCACTGTTTTCCTGAAGCACATGATAAGTCCACTGCTTTTGTTTTGATCTTTGGAAGAGGATCAAACAAATGATAACTTAAGTGATACTGCACAACAACAAGCTCCCAAAACAAGTCTCAGTTTAACTTCTCAAGGGATGCCAACATGACGAAGGAGAGACAAGTTATTAGCATGAGTGTTTTATGAGCATGAGAATTACCTTAGTTGTATGTAAGCAGTATGCAGTCATAAACTCTCAACCCACTTGCACAACTCTTAGGAGATCTTTGGGCTAAATGTGGGAATATTTTTAGAACGAACATCGTTTAACTTCTTCACGAAAAAGGTATTTAATATGTTTCTATACTTCAAGATTGATATACGACACGGTTTCCTTTTTCATTGATTGAAAAGTAAATATCAGTGTTGTTTCATTAAAGATGAATGTAGACCTAGCTGGTTTGGACGAGGGTTAGAGTGTCAACACCAGGTTCAGCTCGATTGAGCATGTGTGAAAGCAGCAATCCAATCAGAAGTGGGGCGAAACAAACAGGGCAAGACCCCCGGTGGTGACGTTCGGCTTCCACTCTAATCACATTTACCTGATGCACCATCTGAAGAGCAACTGTCTTGTGAGTGTGTGGTGGTACGCATCCATAGCTCTGCTTCTAAGGCAAACTTATGTCTCCTAATAAGAATCAGAAGGTCGCAGTAGAGATGCTAGCTGTAGCTATACATGTTCATTTAATGAAAAATAACTAAAAGAGAGGAAGTGTTTAGGGATGAATTTGTTTACAGCTTCTGGACCGCTCGTGGATGTTTCTGTGTACACACAATGACCAAAGAGGCAAACGCAATAACTGTGTCCAACAGTCCCTGAATCAGCGCAAGGCAAACAAACGGCAGACTTGTAAACACCCCGAAAAAGGCATCAATCGTGACACTTACAACAACGTAAAAACAAAGGCTCTCTATCACTTCCAATATAGCTGAGAAAGCATAACAGAAAAGCCCATCAAACATATGTAAACAATCAACAGTGTCACGACAAGATTAGATTTTTCCGTGAGGTTGTGTCCCTGAGGTCTGGCAGTGCACTCACCCGTCATTTTCCAGCAGTCCCCTGCAGTCCACCACAGGGCCACCGCTGCCGATGCGATCTCGCGTCTGTAAGCTCACTGAACACAAGCGGGAGGTCAAAAGGTCAGAGGAGCGACAGAGGGCAGAATATTCACGCAGCCAAACAGAAGTTACTCCGGGGGCGAGGTGAGGCAGGTCATTTGTAGATGATGTGTCTGTGTGTCCAACCCTTACCTACGATCTGCCCCCGCACTGCGTCACTGTCCGAGGGGTTCAGCTTACAGAGGTCTAGTCGCTGGTCTGGAAAGGAAGGAAAGGGAAATGTAAACCAGAGGATTTTTTTGCATGAATGTGTACTTTTAAAGATCCCACAGAAAAGAGAAACTTACATCCCGTGTCTTTTAGCCTGCTGATGGCGTTAGAAAGCAGTCGTATGCAGCCCAGGAAGCCCGCCCCCTGCCGTTTATGGATCTTTTTGTGGTTCCATATGCTGATCGTGATGGAGTCTGTTTTTCCGATGTAGCTGAAAAACAGATGTTAGATTCACAAAATTACTTTATGTTTAAGTCTGGTGTCAAAAATATAAGGTTTTGTCTCTCAACCTTTAAATAATTATAAACAGAGAAGTTGAAAATAACCGTGAGATGCAGCCCTGAATTTAAAGTCTCCCTTTTTGTAAGACAGAATGTGCCTGTGTGATTGTTTGAGAATAATAGACATCTTTGAAGTATATTCTTCAATTTCAAAACCAGTAAGGAAACATGTATTTAAGTGCACAGTAGCTGTGGTTGTGTGGCGGTAGACTCACAGGTCGTAGTGCTGATTCCATTTGGGGTCCAGTGTGCTCTTGACTGTGTCTGTAGAGTGGCATTGACCCGATCCATCCACCACAACCTTGGCAAAGGGATCCGGTAGTCCTACACACACACACACACACAGCTCAGATTAATAGCTTGTATCCGTCACGGTGAAACCCAATGAGATAGCATCTAGTTATTAGCAATATCTCAAATGGCTGAAGTGATGCAGATAACATATCTCTACAACAAAGCAGAGCTCTCTATTGCTGCAGACATTCAGCAGATTACTCTTAGTATCTCTACTTTTACTAAGAACAGCCTCCAGTTTAAAAGCTCTAAACCAATAACAGCATATTTCATCTGCTTTTTGGGCAGCGCATGATTTCATAAAAGTGGATGAAATTAAAACAAAGATATGGTCATGACAAACAGCCACTGAGGGAATGGCAATAGAGTCGTTAAACTGGGAAATGAGTTAGCAGTTCGGGTGCCCTTGTCTCAAGTCACCATTTTTTTTTTTATGTGTTTTTGGTTTTAGGGCCAATATTAGAGTTCTGTGGCGAACACAAGGGTGAAATATCTTTCTATTTTGTTCTAGAACGTAAAACACGTCAGTAGAACCCTAATCCTAACCCAAGTTGCTAAAGACTTCTAAACGCCATCAAGCCGAATGTTAGCCGCCTTTAGCGTGTGATTTGTGGAGATTATCCTGCTGAACAGAACGTGTAAGTATCAGAAGCTCCTGTTTGCTAGGAGTCTTAATTTCTGCAATATTCCAAAATCAGATTGACTTTTTGTCAAGGGAACCATTGAGATGCCAACTTCCCGTTCCACCTACACAAATATGTCATCGCTGCACCGCTCCATGTGTTTCCAGAGTTGGTTTTGATGTCACACACAGACCCTTATTGAAACACTTCATCTCATCATGTAACCCAACCGTCATCACGGTCAAATCATGCACATCTTAATACTTACGAAAGAAGTCTTTCTTTGCGAGGTTCTTGGCACATAATACTGCAAAAGAATAGAAAATCATTATGAACAAAATGCCGCACACGCAAATATGTAAATGATCTCAGGGTGTGTGTAGGCTGGTATAAATCTACAGTGAGGAGGAAGAACGCTGCTCAGGATAATATATGAATGCCAGAAGATGGTAATGAGCAGGAGAACTTATGTGACTTGCAGGAGGAGAATGGGCAGTAAAGTATACGCTGCTGTCAGGAAGGCACACACACACACACACACACACACACACACACACACACACACACACACACACACACACACACACACACACACACACACACACACACACAGCCTTCGCTGCCACATCATCTTTGTGGATCCAGAAAGCAAAACTACACTTTTGAGAGTTCCTAATCGTGCAATAAGTATTTCCTTTATTTTGTGTGTGTGTGTGTGTGTGTGTGTGTGTGTGCGTGCGTGCGTGCGTGCGTGCGTGCGTGCGTGTGATTTCTTGTTATTTGTTTGCCAGGCTGCCTGTATGGTGGCGTTTTTCATTCTCGGTCACTGCACAAGACTTAAAACAACACA